AAAATATCAACACACTCTAAAGAAAACAAACATAATGGAAAGTCAATCTTCACACACGAGGCGCATATAGCAGCCATCAACACAATCATATCCAGCTTTGAGCTTCGAGTCAACCCGAACTGGAGGACAAACCATGCAACACCGACCAAGCACTGCTGCCAAACCATGTAACCAAAACAGATTCTACACATTATAGTAGACCAAAGACGCCTCTTGCTTGCATCTACACGAAACCAGCCTGCTCCAGACAATGATTCAGAACTGTTTACCAAATCAACCAAACTCCAGACAGCAACATCCACATAAATGGTTCGCTGCCATCCCATACAACCCGAGCAGTATCTAGACACGGTAGTAGACCCTGTCAACCAGCAAATACCCAAAAGTATTAAGAGCTCATCAACAGTAGAACATACAAGAATCAATGATAGATTACTCGGTATACCACACATATATATGCTCACTACACTCAACCCACAATTATATAAACTCACATCACTCGGAAAATAATGCTCCTTGTACCTGCAAAAGAAATCACAGATGATACATAAAAACATGTTAGTTCCTCTCAATGTGGCTAGTGATATTGGGGTGGCTGATTGTTTACTCCTCACACTATACTCGGCCCTCAGATTATGGGGCAAACACTCAACAAACAACTTACCAGAAATCCAGGTACCTATATCAATAACAAACATTAGGAAACCCCACAATGTATTTGCTAACCATCACTCAACCCACAATTTAGGATCTCTCATTCCTTACAGCAGCTGCCGAAGGCTTCACCATAGTATGGGGAAGTCTCCATGATTGGAGAAACCATCTGTCAGTTTGGTGAGACTTCAGATTGGTAATATGCATTACCCTGAACCTTACCATATCCACAATACACTTTATAACCACCTCTTCCGGGACCATATCCTTGCTAAACACTCTGTTATTCCTAGCAATCCACAACTGATAAACAGTACAGGTAAAAGCAAGCTTAGTGATAATAGCCCCAAGAGATTTGCCTTTCACAGATTTAGCAATGAGCTGGACCAAATCATCCCAAGGTATAGAGGGCCAATGTACATTTATTTGACCTTTAATGCAAGACCACACCCTTTCCGAGAATGGACACTCAAAGAAAAGGTGATTGTGGTCCTCACAATGATGCTGGCAGAATACACATTTCGCAGATAGGGTTACACCAAAAGTTTGCAACCTATCCCCAGTATTTAATCTGCCAAGAATAGCCATCCACACCACAAAACTCACCTTCGGGATATTATAAGGGCCCCAAAGGAGAGTGGACCAATTCACAGGATCAAAATGTTTCCTCAAAGAGTGCCAAGTAGATTGAATAGTGAATTGGCTATTGGTAGCAGGACACCAACTAACATCATCAAACCCACCAGTGGGGAGGAAAGTTGGGGGAGTGCTATCAATAAGATCCATAAGCTCCCATGAAAGAGGGAAAAGGCCATCTCCAAGAAGTACCCTTCACAATCTCACCAACCTTAGCATCTATACCAAGAGCAGAATCATACACAATTCTAACTCCAAATTTGTCCCACAAAGATCCCATAGGGTGCCAATTATCAAACCACAAAAAAACCGTAGAACCATCTCCCACCCTATGTTTGATTAGAGGGTAAATGATAGGTCTACGAGAGAGGATCTTCCTCCAAACCCAAGAAGGGTCATTTGGCACCCTAACTCTCCAAAAACTCCTACCTTTGAGAATATAAAACTTTACCCAAATACACCACATTGATTGCTCTCCCACAGAGAAGAGGAACCAGACATGTTTAGCAATGGCAGCCTTATTCCACACAGTGAGGGACTTAAAACCCAGCCCCCCTTCCTTCTTAGGAGAACAAATTCTATCCCAAGAAACCTTAGCCCCATGTTTTTTTAACTCACACCCAGACCAAAAGAAAGCTCTAAACAAACTCTCTATAGATCTAATGACCTTCTTTGGAAGGATGAATAAAGAGGTCCAGTAAACTTGCATAGAGAATAGAGCAGATTGGATCAACTGAGCTCTACCAGCATAAGTGAGGCACTTATTTGTCCAGCTTTTGTAATCCTCTCCACAAGTTGGTCACAATCAGTGGCCTTAAGTTTCGTGGAAACTAAAGGAACCCCCAAGTATCTCACAGGTTACTTGCCTTCACTAAAATTGCAAACCCCAAGGATCTCATTTCTTAACTGCGTATCACACCCAGAAAAGAAAATGTGACTCTTATTAGGGCTAGGAGACAGCCCAAACAAACTCTTAAATTCTTCTAACCCCATTTTGATGGACTGAACAGTAGACACATCCCCTTTACAAAATATCATCAGATCATCAGCAAAGCATAAATTAACAATCTTAGTTTTTCACATCTCCAATGGAATTTTTCTCAGCCAAAATTCTAGAGAGAATTTCCATGACAATAACAAAGAGATAAGGGGACATAGGGTCACATTGCCTCAAACCTCTCTCCCCCCTAAAATAACCATGCAAACTCCCATTAATGCAAATGGAGTAAGTGGGACTAGTCATGCAAGCTTTTTTTTTTTTTGGGTGAATAAGAAATAGATAGAACAAAAAAAAATAATTACACGATTACAAGGGGCATACCCCAGGCCCTACCACTACTACAACAGAAAACACCAAAAGGGAGCAGCACCAAGCTGCAGCAACAGCCACTAGACGGGCCAGACCTCAAGCAACAAAACAACCAGATCCCAAGGGACAAAAAACCTGTTCAGGCGCCATAACCAATAGAAACAGGGGGGCTGTACAGGTCACCGTGGAAGGCAACAAGCAAGAACACTAAAATAAAATAAAGATAAAAATAGCCCAAAGAAGGGGCCCAAACACTTACTAAATGGACTACAACCACCCAGTATATGTACAATTTACAACAAAAACAGCACACCAAGAGGAAATAGAATATTTTATACATCCAGAAAGTAGACCAACACATAGACTTTTTGAGAACTCAAGACAAGACGCATTTAGCTGCCATCGCCGAGAAGGATATCCAATTAGCACGAAGCCACCAAGAAGGGCGCAGAATGCTGCCACCTCTCCACCACCAGTAGAACATTTTGGAAACAGACCTGCATCTTGCAGATTTGCACAGCTTAGTGTCACAGAAGCTCCACCTGTACATGGAACGGTGAACCTGAACCAAAACCAGCCACGTATAGGAACTGAGACTGTTTTTATGATCAAATAGGAGCAGAAAAATAACAAAGATTATATAAATTCTCACAACTCTCGGCCCACAATAAAATATGACTCTCCTCTCCATATAGTGTCTCACATCACTCAACCCACAACTCACAGATATAGGCTCAATCTGGAATAGAAGCTGAATTGAAGGAGCATCCCTGTCCTGCAAAATAGAAAGTATATAGCATATATAAAAACTCATTAGTAAACCAGCTTTGGTACTACTCACATCTCTCAACCCACATTTAGAGTGAAATATATACTGGCTCACTTCACTCAACCCACAGTGAGTCTTGACCTGTCCATTCCTTAGTTTAAACAACATCAAGAATGTGATTGTCAACTGTACCTGCAAAAGAAGAACCATTTAAAAACACTCAATTTCTGCTACTTTCACTCAACCCTCAAATATAGGTGAACTCACATCCCTCATGCCTCTTTCAGCAATAGGCAAGTTCATGATTGTTGTTGGCAGATTCCATTGTGACAAGTACCAGCTATCACCTGTAGACAACATCACATTACACAAAGAAAGAATCCTACCCCTCACCATTTGGATAATTTGTTTGGTGACAATCTCGGCAGGAACACTAGTTTGACTAAAGACTCTACCATTCCTCTCCCTCCAGATATGGTACACCGTACACATAAAGGACAACTTAATAATAGCAGATTTCAGAGATCTACCTTTAGTAGAATTCACAGCCAGCTCAACATTTTCTGCCCAGTTGAGGTTAGGCCAACTCACATTACATTTACCCTAAATAGCAGCCCAAATCTGTGATGAGTAGGCACACCTAAAGAAAAGATGGGAATGACTCTCCATAGGATCATTGCAGAGGGGACAACTAGGGTGAGTAACAAGCCTAAAAGCTTGCAATCTATCCCTAGTGTTCAGTCTACCATGAATAGCCAACCAAACAATGAAGCTAACCCTAGCAATATAGGGGTGCCCCCAGAGCATTTTACTCCAAGAAACTTTAGGACCCTTATCCCTCCAGCAGTCCCAAGTAGACTGAATAGTGAAAAGACCATCACCAGTAAGACTCCACCAAGGACAATCATGAGTGCTCTCAGTGGGTTTAAAAGTGGAGGGAGTAGATGCAATCCACTCCCGAATCTCCCAAGAATTAGGGAAAGGCCACTTCCAAGCACCACCAGAGATGATAGAGCTAACTTTAGAGTTACAATCAAGACCCGAATCATAGGCAATTCTGGGCCCAAACCTGCTCCACAACGATCCAAGGGGATGCCAGTTATCAAACCACAGAAAAGCTTGCTCCCCATTACCAATTTTAAACTTAATAAGAGGAAGGAGAAGATGTCTAAGCTTCAAGATTTTCCTCCAGACCCAAGAGGGGTCACTAGGGACTTTAACATACCAGAAACTCCTACCTTTGAGTAAGTATGACTTGACCCATTGGCACCACATAGAGCCCTCTCCACCAGAGAAGAGGAACCATACATGTTTTGCTACAGCAGCCCTATTCCAAATACCCATATCTTTGAACCCCAAACCCCCATGTCATGCAAGCTTTTATCCAAAGGATAATATTAGGGGGGAAACCCATCGCGGTAAGGACATCAAGAACAAAATCCCATTTAACATTATCGTAGGCTTTCATAATGTCCACCTTCATGGTACACCTAGGAGAGGGGGAGGCTTTATGATAGCCCCTCATAAGCTCCTAAGAAAGGAAGATATTATCGGCTATCCTCCTACCAGAGACAAAAGCTGATTGAACAGGATCAATAAGATCATGAAGGACAATTTTAATCCTATCCGCAATTATCTTAGAAATACATTTATACAAAGTGTTGCAGCACGAGATAGGTCTAAAATCCCCCACTTTTCAGCATTGGGGATCTTCGGAATCAAAGCAATGGTGGTGCTATTTAATTCCTGAAGAAGTTCCCCCAATGTAAAGAAAGATTTGTTTGCTTCAACAACTTCTCTCCCCACAATATCCCAGGATTTCAGAAAAAAACCCGCAAAATACCCATCAGGGCCAGGGGCTTTATTAGCTTTAAGGGACTTGAATGCATCAATGATCTCTTTCTCAGTCACTTCCCTAGCAAGGTTTTGATATTGACTCTCAGACACTCTTTTGATGATAAGGCTACTAATCCTATCATACCCATTATATTGATCACCAAAAGGTTTCCCAAACAAATTTGTGAAATAGTCCACAAAGGAGTGGTGAACCTCAGCACTTTTAGTCACTCTATCCCCATTAGGGAGCACAACACTGTGAATCCGCCCCTTATTCACATTGCCCTTAACATTTCTAAAGAAGAACTTGCAATTCCTATCCCCTAAACCTAACCATTGGATTCGAGATTTCTGGTGGGCAAGACTCTCCTCAGCTTTGCTAAGGTCAACATATTTCACATAAGCAGCCCTCTCAGTCTCTTGAAGAGTTAAGTTTAAAGGATCTTTATCAAGCTTGATTTGAGAATTAAGGAGATGATCCTTGGCAACACCAACCCGAGTGGAAATCTCACTATATTCCTTTTTGTTCAACTCTTTAAGAATGGGCTTAAGAGTTTTAAGCTTTTGACAAACCCTGAACATGGGAGAACCCCTAATGTATTTCCTCCAAACACCATACACACTGGGGAGGAAATCACAGTGGGTAGCCCAGAAGTCAAAAAACTTGAAAGGCTTCTTAAGCTTCGTTTCCTCACCTCCAAGTTGCACAATCACAGGGGAGTGATCAGAAACTCCCAAGGGCAAGAAAAGAGCATACGAGTTAGGGTTAACAGTTAACCACCTCTCATTGACAAGGACTCTATCAATTTTCGAGGTAATGAAGTTACCACCCCCCTGCTTATTTGACCAAGTAAATTGACACCCTTTGCAACACAAGTCTTCCAATTCAGAGTCCAAAACCATACTATTAAACACCTCATTGGCACGACTCCAGTTCTCCCTCCCCCCCATTTTCTCAAATGAAAAGCGGACAACATTAAAGTCACCAAGAAAAACAGAAGGGTGACTAGCATAATTGAGAGCAATTTTCTTTAGATCAAAAAACAAGGGAAGCCTCAACTCATGCTTATTTTCAGCGTAAACAAAAGTAGAGAAGAAGCTGAGATCACCCTCAAAAACTGTCACTTTAACAAAAATAAACTGGTTTGATTTTTGGACCATCAAAACATCGCAGAAATTTGGATCCCAGCAAACCCAAATTGTCGCTGGCAGATCTGGTTGTGAGTTCGACAAAAATTTCCAATTTTTAAAGCTATTATCAAAAATTTTAGCTTCATTTTCCATTTTAACTTTTGTCTCCAAAATGCTCATAATTTTAATATCTTCTTTTTTAACAAAATCAATAACTTCTTTATGTTTTGAAGGATTGTTAAACCCTCTGACATTCCAAAAAGAGGTTTTAATAGACATGATAAGCAACAAAAAATAAGATCACAACCAGATCACAACAAAAAAACAACAGAATTTTACCTCCTTTTCTTCTTCTGGCTACCTGATTTTCCAGAAGACTTCTGCTTGGTTGAGCTGCCCACCTTTAGCCCACCATCCTCCTTTCCCCCTGCAGTTCAGGAGGTTTTGCTCTCATTTCCTCTTCCCCCACATCCTCTGTATTTCTGATATTTTCCTCAGCTGCTTGGGTTATGGTCTCAGCAGTTTCCACAGCCTCAGAGTGAGAGGCATCTATCTGGCCCGTAACATTTGCAGCATTTTCTTCAATCTCTGGATGGGGAATAGCCTCCTCAGACTCAGGGACTAGGTCACCCCCCTTAGTTGCAGATGAGCTATCAGCTTCAGTAGGGACATCTTGAAAATGGGAGGTTTGGTCCCCCACTTTCCTTTTACCCTTATCCTTCACAGTAGTCCATCCCTCATCAACTTCAACCCTGTCTTCAGAATTCTTCTGTAACTCAATGAGATGTGTTACTTGAGCAGAGAGGCAGGTCTTAGTCTCATGTCCAAAAACATGACAGTGCATACATCTCGATGGTACACCCTGATACTCCACATGGATATTCATGGATACATCACCACTTGTAATTATGAAGCTATCAGGGAACTCAGATACAGCTGAAATATCCACACAAACTCTAGCGAAGGAGATCTTACTTCCCGAAGAGGTAAGTTGATCCATAAACAATGGAACACCCACTGCACTAGCTATTCTTCCTAAACCATCTCCATCCCAATATTCAAGAGGAATATTATGGAATTTCACCCAAATAGGGTTGGTTTTCTTGTCTTCCTTAGACAGTTTCATCATCCGATGCCACTGTTTCAATATGAGAAGGAAGCCACCCATATACCAAGGTCCTCCCTCCAAGGCAGCAATACAGCAATCCCGATTTTCAAACATGAAGAAGAAAAACCCATCATCATTTTTCAGAATATCAACCAGCCCCTTATTCTTCCACATATTATTAGCATTGTTTTTGATAAGGGTATACGGCAGATTTTTATCAATGAAGTACCCTACCAGACAAGCTTCCCATTTTACCATAGGCGAGGGGGGAGGCAACTCAACAACTATCTTGTCTTGATCAAGTTTAGGGGGATAGTATTTAAGTTTTACCTCTGACCGGACTGAAGATGAGGCCACGTTAGCCCACGATCGACCCTCAGTGGCACGAAACGGCCCTCTGCCTCCACGACCACCCCTCTTATTAGGGTTGGTACCACGACCTTGGTTATGAAACCCACCTCGAGTGTTACCCACAGATCCTCTAGGGTTGAGATCCGATTCATCAGAAACACGATCGGTTTGGCTAGCGATCCCTTTAGGGTTTCCATCTGCACCAGACTCATCAGCATCCAAGTCTTGGTCCCCCATGTCAATATCCACTTTCTCCTGTGAACCCAACGGAATATCCACCTTTTCAGCAATCGCACCATGTTATTGAGTGATACCCCGATTTTTTGTGACCTCAACACTATTTGGAAGATCCATAAGCTTAGATCGAAGCTCCCCTTCAACCCTATCCGACCAATTTGTCGATTGAACAATTGGAGTTGATAGATCCGCAAGAGTGGATCTGACAAAAGGATGGGAATCCTCTTCCACCGCCGATCTAGCCTTTATAGCCGCAAGACGATCTGAGATCTCATGGATGGATGCCGCCGTAACCCCTTTCAGTTTCTTCTCACTATTTTGTGCAAGCACAACTAGGGTTTCTAACTCTATTTCTGAGAGATTTAGACGTTTAGGGCTAAACTCACCATACGACCCACTAAGACGACTCAACTCGCTACCTCGCTCTTCATTTAGTATAGTATTAATGTTCCCCTTTACAGTCAAATCTTTTGTTTCCATTTCAAACAAGAATCCACGGTTCAGTGAAGTATTGAATGCAAACCCTAGAAACGAAGTTTCTAGAGAGAAGGAGGAGCCTCTCACACTAACCCATTTCTGCCAACTAACTAACTAACTTCAAACTTTTTCTTCTAACACTCAAGAATAAGGTTTCTCCGTAACTTTCTCCGTCCCTCTACATCCTTCTCTATTTTTTTTAACGAACTAATTTGCTTAGGCCACTAATTGTGTCATTAGCTCAAGTGGCCAAGTTTAACTAAAATTAACCTTGCTTATTAGCCACCAAGAAAGAGAATTTTATGAGTAATTGTTGCGTAATGATATTAGTTTAACTTATGCACCACGTTTAAGGTTTTCTTAGTCACTTAAGTGTTCAATTGTCGAGTCGAACAGGATGGATATGAGTTCCCTTTGATTTTTTTTCTTATTTCTCTTTCTTTTGTCTAACTTTCTCTTCTACCTCTGAAGAAGAATGTTTCTATCCAACTTTCCCCGTCCTTCTCCATCCTTCCCTATTTCATTAGCTTCAGTGCCAGAGTTTAACTCAAACTGACCTTGCTTAGCTTTCAAGAAAGCGAACTTTCTATGTAAATGTAGGTTAACGGTATTAGTTTAATATAAGCACCTAATTTAATCTTTTCAAAATAACATAAATGCTCAATTAAGTAGCCAAGCTTAACTCAAGCTGACCTTGTTTATCCTCTAAAAAAGCAAATTTTCTATGTAAATATGGAATAGCGGTATTAGCATGACGTAAGCACCACATTTATGCTTTTCTAAACGATGTAAGTGTTCAATTCTAAAGTCCAAATGGTTGAATTTGAATTCCCTTGTACATTCTTCCAATTTCCCCTTCCGTTCTCTAACTTTCTCTTCCAAAAGCAATCCAAACAAGCCCAATGTTTATCCCTTGTTGTTTTTCTGTTGTTAGGGCCTGGGGTATGCCCCTTGTATTTTTGTAAATTCTCCTGTTTTATATTATTTCTTATTCACCCAAAAAAACATAGGCTAAGCTTTTTTTGTTTTCAAGAAAGATAATTTTCTGAGTAATTGTAACTTAACGATATTAGTTTAACTTAAGGACCTCATTTAAGGTATTCTAAATCATCTAAGTGTTCAATTCTCAAGTCCAAAACGATGAATTTGTATTCCCTTTGATTTTCTTTCGATTTCTTCATCTTTTCTCTAACTTTCTCTTCTAGCTCTCAAGAATAATGTTTCCCTGTAACTTTCTCCGTCCTTCTCTATTTTGTTCTAGGAACTAACTAGATTAGGCCACTAATTGTTTCATTAGCTTAAGTGGCCGAGTTTAACCCAAACTATGTTTTCTCAGTCTCCGAGAAAGAGAATTTTTTGATTAATGGTAACTTAACGATATTAGTTGAACCTAATCACCTCATTTAAGGTTTTCTAAATCGTCTAAGGGTTCAATTCTCAAGCAGAAAAAACGATGAATTTAAATTCCCTTTGACTTTAATCATATTTCTCTTCTTTTTTTTTTCTTCTTTTTTTTCCTCAAACGTTCTCTTCTAGCACTCAAGAATAATGTTTCCCTGCAACTTTCTTCGTCCTTCTACATCCTTCTCTATTTTCATCAACGAACTAATTATATTAGGCCACTAATTGTTTCATTAGCTTAAGTGGCCAAGTTTAACTCAAACCAACCTTGCTTAGCCACCAAGAAAGAGAATTTTCTGAGTGATTGTTGCTTAACGATATTAGGCTAACTGAAGCACCTCGTGTCACGCCCCACTTTTTATTACTCGAAGTATTACCAATTTCATTAACTTAATTCCATTTCTGGGATAACATGCAGAAATAAACTAGTATATTCAACTCGTAAAAGTGAATAACATTGCTCTCATTCATATGTAAGTAAATACAACATGAGTATAATAAATAAATTTCCCATGGGCTTACATCATTAACGAATCAAGAAGAAGGGTACAACCCTTTTACACATATGGCATTCCGCCAACACAAGAGAGGCCCCGTGGCCAACAAATAAGAAGATCCAAATCTTGCAGCACATTCAGATCAACACCTGAAAAAGATTCAACAACGTGAGATGAACATATAGTCTAGTAGGGATCTCAACATGACCCTCAACAATAACAACTTACAGATAGCTATGTTTATGAATGCTCAATCTCATACTAGGATAGTAATGTGACAGTTTGTACAAAATATACATAAGTATGAACTTTTCTCGAAAACAACCATTTCAATCAACGCCATAGGCGATTCAATTTTTTTCTTTCTTTTCATTAACTCCCGTTCCCAATCTTTCATAACATTAACAATTCCTTAGGAAATAAATTCACTAAGCTCATTACTCTCTTCCATTGTCCAAACATACACAGATGTGCCTTTTCAAAACATATATTTCTTTAAAATATCCGTTCTCCTTCACACTTTCCAAAAGACAGAATGACATTTTGGCTTCTTCCTGATACAATCAAATCTATACATGGAGATAACAACTCACCAACATGCATAAGATAAACCAATGAGGCAACTCGGCCCTCCAAAACTGTAACCGACATAATCCATGATATTCCCAGACACACTGAAACATCAACAACAAAACTTTGCTCTACTAGCTATGTGCGTAGTAAGCCAAAGATACACCTCTCACAACAACATTACCAGTTTACCAGGCGCTAGCTGGAAGGGTATGGTGCCTTAGATTCTCAGCGCAGTCAGTTCTCCAGGCGCTAGCTGGAAGGTCACGGTACCTCTGATTTTTAGCGCAAGGTATAACACCACCAACCAAAACATAACAGGGCATAACTAACATGTATAACACATATACATAAACCATCAAGATACATATACACGACAATTCAACACAACCGTGTCATCCTCCACCGATGACCAATGACAAAACCTCTAGATGCAAGTATTTAGTACATCTATTAAAGACTCAATTGCTATGAGACCATAAACCCACCAACAACACTAACACGGTAGTTAA